TTTTTTTTTTTTTACAAAAGGAGGAATGCAGGGATTTTGAGGAGGAACAGGGCTTTATTGGTCCCCCACCTCCTAAGCCTCTATTCCCCCATCTGTCTGATGGGGACAATGCCTCCTTTAGAGGTGAGGGGCTGCTCTGGATTAAGCATAGTGTTGATGTCTGAGGAGGGTGAATTCAACTCCAGCTCATTCACTTGTTAATTTAATTTTTGTTAATTTTCTTTTTATGTGTATGTATGTTTATGTATGTATAGACCACAAACATGCAGGCGCCCACGGAGGCCAGAAGAGGGGGCCAGGTCCCCTGGAACTGGAGTTACAAAGCAGCTGTGAACCACCCCATGTGGGTGCTGGAATTGAGTTCAGGTCCTCTGCAGGAGCAGCAAGCTCTCTTAGTAACGGAGCCATCTCTCCAGCCCTAGTACAGATTTCTTTAAGCAGCAGTAAAATGGGGAAAGCTACCCCACAGGGGGCATTTGCAGAGTTCAGGGAGAAGCACTAATCACTTGGCAGATGGCAAACCAGGGCACCACTTCGCATGCAGGAGGTGCTCAATAAATGATTATTCTTTTCTCTTTTTTTCCTCTGCTAAAGTCAGCCTGGTGGTTCTAAGGGATCTCTGGGCAGGAAAGGTGCTCCCAGCATCCACATGGCCCAACAACCTGTCCAAACCACCTGTCCCAGGACCTTTGCATGATCCAATCTGACTGCTGGCCTGGAGGCCTCTTTCGCCTCTGCAAGTGGACGTTTTCTGATCGTGGGAAGCAGGCTGCTTGGGGATCTGCATGGCCCATCAAAGCTGAGATTTGATTTGTGACTAAGTGGCATCAGCTCACAGATGTCAGAGTGAGGTTGCCATGGAAAAGCAGGTGACCGTCAGGCCTCAAGTTCCCTTGCCTCACACTGACAGCTGGTCTCACACACCTGCCACAGCCTGCTTGTCCTTGTCTGAGAGTTCAGGGTCAGGACCTCCTCTGAGCATACGTGTGTCAGACTCAGGCCCCAGGAAGGACCCGGAATCCCCTCTCCCAGGCTGCTCTTCTCTCTAGACTTCTGGAAGACTCCAGAGCACAAGCTGGCTCCTCTGCTTCCAGGAAGCCACCATACTGCCCTGGGTTCCTCCGCCCTCCATGGCTCAGCTCTCTACTGAATTCTCCTCAAATGACAATCTGAAATGTCTCTCTTTTCCTGACCACTTTCTCAAACTCACCAAGACCTAGCTGTATCCTGTCCTGACTCCAGCTGACCCTGGCACTGAGTGTTTTCTGAAGTGGCCACCCTTTCCACACATGCCCCCGGTCCATCCATCAGACAATGGCTTCAGCCTGGGCTTTTCCCAGAATGAGACACAGTGCTGGGAACTGCAGAGACGTGAGGCTCCGATGTTTGTAGGAGCAGAACATACCTGCAGAGAGGGTCTCTAGCCAGGAATGGATGGCTGGCCGCTCCAGGGCAGTCTGCTGACTTCTAAATCAGAGAGGTAGAAGTTACGAGGACCTGGTTGGGTGGACCTGGGTTCAGATCATACATAGGCCTTTCATTGGTGCTGAGCAGGCAAAACCCAACATCTCTCTGGGCCTTTGTATCCTCACTGTGACCCAGGGACATCCGTGACATGCTCTGCATTGGTGGGGATGAGCTGGTATGATGAACATCGTGGCTGTGGTGGGCCAAGTCAACCTGGAGCCTGTAGCCCTACTGAGCTGTTAGCTAGCACTCTGTTGGGTAGATGGGCTAGCCATGGATAGGTCCACAGCCTTTTTAGGACTCAGAGGCACCCATACCTGTACCCAAAGGAACTGCCTGAGTGGGCTCTCAAGCTACCTAGGTATGAGGGTCAGGTGGGATGGAGGAAACAGCGATTTAGGGGCACAGGGCCGTTGTCAGCTGTGCCTAGGACAGGTCCTGGGGATTTCCCACCAGCAGTTCATGACACTGGGCTGTTGCCTCCAGGGAGGGCAGAGGCTGTGTCCAGCGTGGTCCTGCCAGTGTGCTCATTGGCTTCTCAGCAAGTTCTTGAAATGCTCAGCTTTCTCCCACCAGGCGACACTCACTCTGGAGAAGTCCAAGGCAGGGAGAAAGCCAGTCTGCGCCCTGAGACTTCAGGATGGGACTCTGTGGGTCAGAGCTGCAGTTTCTTAGGGAGACAAAAACCTGTGGGCTGCTGTTTTCCTCGGCCTGAGTGTTTAGCGTTCTCCAGTGAAGCGGGCCCTCCTGTGGGTTCAGAGCAGGAAGCCCAAGCTCCCTCAGCACAAGGAGCACACTGCTCACAGAGGAGGGCAGCACAAAGGGCAGATCAAGGATGCTGGGGCCCCCGGCAACCCCTGTAGCTTTCAACCTGTGCCCCACGCAGGGGAAGGCAGCACCAGAGATGGATGGTTATGCTGGAGTCTAGATTCTGTTTTGGTTGTTGTTGATGGTTTTGGTTTTTTGAGACAGAGTCTCCCTGTAGCCCCAGCTGGCCTGGAACTCACTATGTAGACCAGGCTGGTCTCCATCTCTCAAAGATCTGCCTGCCTCTGCCTCCTGAGTGCTGGGATTAAAGGCGTGTGCCACCATGCCCTCCTGAGCTGGACAGGAGTCATTGTTCTTTGACAATGACACTTAGCTTTTATTTTGCAGACAGCCTTTTAATGAAGCACCCATTCAAGTCTCTTGTTCATTTTTCTTTTCTTTTTATGGGAGTGTCTGCCCTTTTATTGATTTGTGGCTGCGCTTTATTTATTATGTATTTTAAATATTTTATTATTTTTTTATGTGTATGAGTGTATTGCCTGCATGTAGGTAAGTGCACTCGTGTTGTGCAGTGCCCTCAGAAGTCAGAAGAGGGTCTCAGATCCTCTGGAACGGGAGTTATGAATGGTCATTAGCTGCCATGTGGGTGCTGGAAATTGAACCTGGGTACTCTGCAAGGGTAGCCAGTGCTCTTAACTGCTGAGCCATCTCTCCAGTCCCTGTTCTTTAAAAATGATGAACACAAGTCTTTTGTTAGGCATGTGTATTTGCAAGTAACTTATTTATTTCACTTTTTGGCCTTGGAGGTTTTTAGATGGGTGTTCTGAGTTTCTTCATCACACGCCCTGGTGCATGCCCTTTTTGCAAGACAGTGAACTTCCCAAGAGCAGTGCTGGGTGACTGCTTTGTTTAGTCAGAACTCCCAGCACTGGGCTGGGCGCAGAAGAGAAACAAAATAAAGTTCTGTGGAATAAGACACCACCAACAACACCCCGCGAAGTGATGTCTTATAGCCTAAGTCTTTGCTTGTCACTAAATCCCAGACAACAGCTCTAAAAGGCATAGAGACCTAGGTGCCCACCGGATGCCCACTCCCTCCTGGTGGTGGCCAGCTCTAGAGTCTGCCTCTTTCAGCATCTGCCCTGAGGGAGGTGGGGCGTCTCCTGGAGAATCCATGTTTTAATTAACTTCCCCAGCAATCACTGGAGACATCGGATCACTTTCACAAACAAATGAGAGGCCAGAGCTTTTGTCTGTGGCCCAGAGTGAGCTATGTGGAAAGAATTCAAAAACAACCCACCAGCACAGTGCCTTGCATGCCTGTGTGGAACCCAGAACTCCTGGCTCTCCAGGGAGGTTGTGGTCTAGGATTTAAGATGAGGATGAAGGTGAAGAGAAATGGTCAGGTGCTGTGCGGGGGAACCGGAGTGTCTTCATAGAGCCTGCTATGGCTGTGCGCTGTGTTCCCTCAGACCCACATATGACAACCCTAACCCCTAGGGGAAGGCCTTAAGCCTTGAGGGTGGGGCCTTCTGATGAGATTAGTACCCTAGGAAGGGGAAGAGGGTAGCTCAAGTCTCTGTTCTCCACCACGCGAGGCTGCAAGTGGGGAAAGTCATCCGCCAACCAGGAGGCCGGCCCTTGCCAGACCTGATGGGCAGGGCTGGGGCCTAGGTCTTGTTCTCTGCCCAGGATTGGCGTACCCGTCATTTTATCTGGGTTGCTGCAGTTCTTGCAAAGTCATAAAATAAACTGTCTTGCTTTTACTACTCTGAGTCTCAAGTGCTATTACGAAGTCAGGGTCTTCATTCCTCTCATAAGCTAAATCCACCTGCCTCGACATCCTGCGCACCCCTTAGCAGCCAGGGCAATAACCTGCTAGCCTCCTCCTCTGCTTCCTTATCCATAAAACGGGGGGGATGTCTAGAACTGAAAAGGACGACTTCCTTCAAGCATCCATCCTGAGGGTGAGGAAGAGTTTACTGCAGACCCAGAGGGGAGGGTTCTCTATCCAGGTACCAAAGGGTGACAGTGGGTGCTGTCCTGGTGTCCCCATGCCCTGGAAGAGAATTCAGATAGGAAGTGGTCCCCTCCAACTACCCCAGGGAGGCAGCTGTCCCTGGCTGGTGTGAAGGGCTAGATAGAGAAACTGCTCCTCCCTCCTGCCGTCCCGGCTCTCTTCTTCAACTTGACCCTTGTGCTCCCAGACACACAGCTGCTTGGCTTATCTGCTGCATGAGGTCCCTACCCCCACTGTCCCGACTGTCCCCTCCGTAGACTGTACCAACCAGTTGGCTGCCCGTCCCCACCTGCAGCTTACAGTTTGCACCCTGGAAGGGAGACCGCTGTGGTCCCTGCTGCCGGGGGAGACAGTGCGCGCTCGGGCCACCATTCACCCCTGCCTCAGCCCTCTCTCTCCCCAAAAGGCGGAGCTCGGCAAGCCCAGGGAGAGAAGCTGCAGTCTGCCTGGCATCAACTTCAATTATGGACTCTACATCCGGGGACTGGATGGAGGGGTCCCCGAAGGTGAGCACAGGGACTAAGAGGTGAACAAGAGGTCCACTGCTCCCCGGCTCTCAGCCAGTCTAGGTGAGGCTGTTGGGCAGGGGCCAGGGAATCGGAAGAAGGAAAGGGCTAGCAGAGGCCTCAGATCTGACAGCCCAGAGGTGAGACCAGGATGTGGCTGAGAGGGGAGCACCAAGTAGGGCCAAGGAGGGAGGAGCCAGGGGACCAGCCAGAGCCCACCCAGAAGGGACTGTTACTATTTACTGTGCAGTGAGCTCAGAACAGGCTCAAGGCCAAGAACACAGATGCCTGAGCACAGAAGTCTTTGAGGTTCTGAAAGAGGTCAAAGCCAGTTCTCCTTTCCTCCCCTCCTTCCTTCCTTCCTTCCTTCCTTCCTTCCTTCCTTCCTTCCTTCCTTCCTTCCTTCCTCCCTCCCTCCCTCCCCCCCCCTCTCTCTTTCACAAGGTCTTAATGCATGGCTCAGCTGGCCTAGAACTCTCTATGCAGACCAGACTGGCCTTGAACTCACAGAAATCCACCTGCTTCTGCCTCCCGAGTATTAAAGACAAGCGCCACCAAGCCTGGCCATCTGGTTTCATCTGGTTTCTGTGATAAAATATCCTGACAGAAAACAACTGCAGAGAGAAAGGGTTTATTTGTCCCCTTGTCGTCCAGCCCCAGGTTACAGCCCATCCTTGTAGGGCAGTCACAGTGCCAGGCACTCAAAGCAGCTGGTCACATCTATAGCCAAAGCAGAGTGAAGTGGATTCATTACAGGCTCACGCTTGCTTGCTTGCGCTCTCCACACGAACACAGTTTGGGATGCCCTGCCTACAGAATGGTACCCGCTGTGGGGCTAGATCGTCCCACATCAATTAGCTTAATTAAGACAAGGCCCCGCAGACATGCCCATGGGCAAACCCAATAGAGACAATCCCTCATTGAAACTCTCTTCCCAGATGATTCTAGGTTACATCAAGTTGACAATTAAAAATAACTATCATGGCGGGGAGGGGGCTAGAGAGATGGCTCAGCAGTTAAGAGCACTGGCTGCTCTTGCAGAAGACCCAGGTTCAAATTCCAGCACCCACTTACTTGGCAGCTAACAACCATCTGTAACTCCAGTTCCAGGGGATCCGATGCCCTCTTCTGACCTCTGCAGGCATTACACCACACATACACACACACACACACACACACACACATATATATATGCAGGCAATACACTCATTCACATAAAATAAAATAAATAATAAAATTTGAAAAAAACTTTGGCTGTCACACTTGTTGGGGCAGGACAGTGCTGTCCCCCTGAAGACTGGGGTAATGGGAGTCCCAAGTCCCCTCAGAGGTCCCAGTGACTCCCACTGATCCTAAACTCATGTTGTCTCCTTGCCCACAGCCATCGGGCACTGGAACGTGTTTAAGCAGCAGCTCACCTGCCCTCACAAGCTGACCCGGAACTACATTGCTATGAACCGAGGAGCAGTTAAAGCTGGCCTGGTGACCGCTCGGGAGAATATTCTGTATCGTGAACTCAATGACATCCGCATCAGTGACCAGGAAGTTCGGTGGCAGAAGAAGGAGCCACCGTCTGTCCCTCCTAACATGACCTTTGGGATTCGTTCACGGTAAGGGCAGGGTACCAGCTCCAACCGTCCCTCTGGCTGACTTGGGGACCAAGGCCCTCAGAGGCTGGGAGGCAGACAGCAGAGTGTCTGCATGGGCCCAAGCCGGGTCACAGTGGGGAGCAGGGACGGGCTGCACTCTAAGCAGTGCTTCCCCTCCCTCGGCAAGCATTTGGGTCAGCCCTCGGGAATTCAAGGTCATTGGTCTAAGACTAGGTGTGATGACTAGGGAAGTGGTGAAGGAGGATCGGGATTTCAAGGTTATCCTTGGCTACACTGCGAGTTTGAGGACAGCCTGGATATGTGAGACCCAGTCTCAAATATAAGAAAATTAATCATCAGGGCTAGAGGGAGAGAAAGTGCCTTCTGCACAAGCAGGACTTCAGTTTAGGTTGTCACCAGCAGGGACTTTGCCTCGGTTTCTGCGTCTGTACGGTGGGATTGTCACATTGCCTGTTCCCTGCTTTTGGTAAGAGGTTTCAAGACTCAATAGATCAAAGACCTTTAACAGGAGGTGGACATAGTGAACCCTTAACACATGTGAGCTGTGTCACATGGTTAAAATGTGATTCAAAATATAGACCTAAGAGCTAAGAAAAATTTTTTAAAAAGCTTTGGTTTGATTTATCTATGGTAAAAGTATCACTGGCCTATGGCTTATGAATTTTACAAATGAAAAATCTGTCATGATAATGGTAGAGGGTCCAGCTGCCTCACCCCCAAGAAACTCGGGTTCCCCTGAGAAGTGAGCTCTCTGGTCCCATGATCACACAGACTGGATGCATTTGGGTCTTCAGCATTAATACTGTGAAGCTGTGATTGAAGGACACGGCCAGCCTGGAGCTCAGATCAACCCCTTAAGGCCAGAAGAGACCATGCTCCCCTTGGAAAAGGGAGCAGCACTGAACCACTACTCACCCTGCTTCTAGGACTGGCCCTTCCTAGTGCAGTGGGCTCATGCCTGCCCCCATCACAGCACCTCTTGCCACATCTTTTCTGCCATCAGTGCATGTAGACCATGGGCACCAGTTTCACTCTGACTTCAAGGAGGGTTAGAGGACCAAGCTTGGCCAGTCAGGGCGTTCAGTTTGCCTGCACCTAGCAGTTGGCTTTGCCACCTGACTGTTCCATTTGTTGGTTGGTTAGTTGGTGGTGACAATTTCTTTGTTTTTTTCTCATGTGTTTATTATTATGGTTAT